ATGGTAGCTCTATTTTTAATTTTTTAACAAGAACTGTTAATATCTGGTCTGACAACTCAAATATTATAAGAAAAGCCCAAATATGTACCAGTACATACCAGTACCCATGTTGGTTTTCTTTAGGGGGGACAAAAGGAGAAAAATATAACATCTGGAATTTGTAGATTTCCTGTTTCAGTTATGGTGGAGTATTTGTAGCAAAATAGAATTCACGCTGAAAACAACTAAATAAGGTCTGAATTAAAGATATTCTGTTAGGAGTGTTTGGAGAACTACACCCAAGGTAGGACCAGAGAGAGAGAGAGAGAGAGAGAGAGAGAGAGAGAGAGAGAGAGAGAGAGAGAGAGAGAGAGAGAGAGAGAGAGAGACTCCTTGGAATGAAACTAATTCTCTGCCTTTTCCCCTCAGGGCATTTGCCAGTCCTTGGCGAGGGACAAGATACTGCGAAGCTGGGGAGAGGGAGCTGCTAAGAGTCAGAGAAAACAACAACACTTCAATCTCATGCTTCTGGACAGAAAAGCAGAAAAAGAAGACAGACAGGTAGAGCTGTTGGAGTATTCAGACTTAAGGAGCCAAGATCCTGGAGTGGGTTGATAAGTGAACTGGATCCTCGGCACAGGATTTCCCCTTCAGACATTTACAAATTAAGCTATATGCATGTGAGAGGCTATGAAGACAAGCACAGTGTGGCTGAAAGAGTAGCATTTCCAGCTGGATCATGGTGCTAAGATGATACAAATTGAAGTTCAAGATTCATCAAAGAGGAAGGGCCCAAGAAAACACCCTAAGGTCTCAGATGGGAGCCCTATCAGTCTACAGCACAGCAGCCTGAGCAAACTAGACGTAGACTGAGACTTCCCATGGGTGCAAACCAGGTGCAAAGCAAGGATTGGATAGAGCTGATCTGCTCTTCTGCTGCTCTGGGGGGAAAGAGCAAATAATTGTCAAAGAAAGAAAACATCATCCCTACTATCTATTATTTTTCACACAAGGGGTCCATCATGGATGCACAATATTCTATGACCATAAAGGAACAGAAGCAAGAGACAAAAAGCAAGCCATGGAGATTGACTCACAGGTGAATGCACAATATCTGGTTATCAGAAGGAACTTAAAATATGTTTTAGCTGTTTAGAAAGTACATGACAAGATAAAAATTCTCATCAGAGAAAGAGAATCTATTTTAAAAAGCAAATGGAAATTATAAAAATAACATAATGGTTATTATATAATATATTAGATTGATTTAATAGCAGTTTGGAAACACTTGAAGAGGGATTATTAACCTAAAATATGTAAGTAGAAAGAAACTCCTGAGACTAATGAATAGAGGGCTAAAAGGAAGAAAAAATAAGAAAAGAGTATACGAAAGATATGGGTTATGTCATAAAGGCCTAATATACATGTAATTCAAGTCTCGGAGGTTGGAAAAGCCAGAAAATGAGATAGAAACACTAGTGAAAGATATTATGGGCAGTTAAAGAAAAAACATGATGATCCATCAAACCACATGTGCACGGAGATCTATGAACTACAAGCAGGTAAAGGACAAGAACACCACACCCGCAACTGCTGAAAACCAACGACAAATGAAAAAAAAAATCATGGCAGCATCCAGAGGGGAAAATTCCTATTGTCCAAAGATTGGAGCTAAATTCTCAGCAAAAGCAATGAAAAAGAAGAAAAAAGGGCTAAAGCAGTGTAATTCCAACCACTCTGTGGCTTCTAATCCCTATTGTTGGATCTCTCAAGGAAAAGTGAAGGCCTTACCCCGTAAGTGGCAGGCGCTAATCAAAAGAAACACAAAAAGTCACTCTTTAGGCAGAAGTTATTACTATGTTATTGCCCGATCCATAGTTTGGTTGTTTTTACGGGGGAGTATTAACCCGTTATGTGAATACACAACGGTTTGTATATCACTTCTCCTGTCGAGGGACATTTGGGTTGTATCCAGTTTCCGCCCAGTACAAATGGCACTGCTATGAACGTTTTCTGTAGAACTCTTTCTGGACGTACGCGTTCGTTTTTCTTGGGAAGTAAACAGAAGTAACATCACCAGGTAACAGGGTAGGTATATTGTGAACTTCACGAGAACCTGCC